CCGTCTCTCCAGATAACTTTCTTGCAGTTTAAGGAAAGCCAAAGTTATGTGTCACCCAGCCCTTAAGAAAAAAACATATCACTCCTTTTACATCCATTGGCAAACGTGAGCTTCTACTAATTCATATGAGCATGGACAGGGAGGTATTCTCCCACATCAAGAAAGGTTAATTTTGTCTCCCTCATGTTTAAGAAGCAAATTTGGAACCCATATGGGATCAATTAATCCATCAAAATATGTGTACAAAGCCATTGTGTTATAGGCATGAAATGTGGATGATATATCAAGACATCTCTTAAATGGAGAAGTTCCACCAAAGGCAGCTACACAACCTACTTTGAGAGGTGTTACAAAAAGTGAATCAATAACAGAATCCTGTAGCACACTTACTGTATGTCTATCAAGTTTTAAATGAAGGTTCATCTGTGATGGGCTGGACAAACAGGTGACTGTAATGGACAATTCATGAATGCCCAAGCAGCTCCATTATGGTAAACTGGAATGCAGAAAAAGCATATTTGTTTGCCCAAGAATGCATATGAAAGTCATCCTAAAGGCACCCTTTATAAAGTGCAAGTGGCTAACTCTTTTGAGCTGAGCTGTCAATAGTCAGCAATGGAACACCAAGATCAGGGAAGGCAGAAGCTGTTTCAAATAGCCATGGCAGGAAAAGTGCATAAGATGAAGGATGTGTTAGCAGCAGGCTAGCTCACATGCTAAGTAGTGTTGTGGGTTTATGACACAAGGTACTGCTTATCACAAATAGGCTGTAAACTAGGGGCATACCAATAGAGATTTTGGGGGCCAATACCGATAACTGATTTTTAAGGAGTCATATCACCCAATACTGATCCCATTTCTGATACAGCTGTGTGCAGCTGCTAAGTCTGTTGAGGTGGATGGGGAGGGGGAGGGGGAGGGAAGGAGTGTGGGGGGATAGATCAAGGCCCCTGCGGTTAGGGAGGGAGTGGGGCAAGGGCCAGGGCAGGGCACTGGATGGAGCTTTGGCTTGTCCAGGGGGCTTAGGGTGGGGGGGTGGCTCTGCCACTGTGCTCATCCCAGTAGGACACAGGGTGGGGGACATGTGCCCCAAGATCTGTGGGGGGGGGGTAGGAGGAGCTGCAGCTGTGGGCTGGAGCCAGGGTGGTGCTGGGCTGTTCCCAGTGTGTGGGGGGATGCGGGTTGGGCTGGGGATGTGCTCGGGACAGGCAGTGGTTGTGGTGCTGGGAGGGGAGTTACCGGGGGGGCTGCAGCCACCCCAAATTTCACTGTAGCCCCTTCCCAGCAATGCCGCCACCTGCCCTGAGTGCAGCCTCAAGCACAGCCTCCACGTGCCAGGAGTGCAGCCCTGAGCAGGGCCCTGCATCCCCAAGCACAGCCCCCCCCAAGAGCTCCAGCACACCCCAACTAAGGCGGCATCAGTTGCCCATGTCTCCTTTTTCCTTTTCTTTTTTTTTTAATTTAAAATGGCTAATGAACAGCATGCTTCATAGTTATAGAGGGCTGTAATATTTAGTCTAAAAAAATTAACGACTGAGTCTTGTATGTTCCATAATGCTTTGCAATATCAGCTAAACTCCCCCACTTAACTGAACGGGTTGGTTCACTTTGCAAGTAGGACCTTATGAGAGTGTCAGCTTTAATTTTGGAGATGCCACTGTAAGATGAGGTTTCAGTGGAAAATATTATAATAAAAGAAGTGGATTCCATTACAAGATTATTTTGGTCTTGATTTTATGCTGTAACACTATAGTAGTACCTTGTTAAAAAGTACATTTCAGGTCTCTTGGGTCAAGAAGAATGCATAGTACAGCTCTTTTAAGGATTGTTTTTGGTATCCATGCAATGCAAATTTTTATGGGTATTTACCTGCTGGTGAGATGGTAGCAGGCTGTTGTTATGTGACTGAAGTTTGATTTGGTATTAAACACCTTCTTTTCTGTGGTAGTCTTGCTATTAATAGGTGAAGCAGTTTTTAGGAGTGGTGTTTAATGGACTTCAGCAGAAGTCACCCAGAAGACATGGTAACAGGTATTAAAACTGTATAAGTTAAGCGATATTAAAAAAGAAGGCTGATGATGGATACTGCCAAATCGCATATATGAGAGGGAAAAAAAATTCCAGCAGCTCCAAGTCATAGAATTCTTGATTCTGGGTTGTTGTCAGTTTGTTATAATATGTGTACATCTTTACTAAGGATGTCAGTATAAAAAAATTCTAAATAACTTAAGTGTTGCAGTATATAGTGTAGCTAGGGTACAAGCTGTCTCTAAATTCCTGGCTATTTAGAAATTGCTACTTTTATTTAAATGTGGTTATTTGGAAATACTGAATCTGTTTTCTTTTGATTTTTAAACAGAGTGCTTCCAAGCTTGCATGCTGTTGAAAGAGGCTAATTTAAGCAATCTTTTCACATCAACAAATGGTAGGCACGTTTCAACTCTGTGTTTAATACCATGCTATATTTTAGCTTGTCTTAAATAGCAGGTGCTTCATTCAACTACAGTTAAATAAAAACAGATGTGGAAACCAACTGTAATATTGATTTAATCAGGAGCTGTAATGTAGCCATTTTTTTTGTTTTCACTTTCTTACTTCATACCTTCCACAAAATGAAGATGTGGCACTTTATAGGAGAAGCATCTTGTTTTCTGAACAAGAGAGTAGAGAAAGTTTAAGATCTTTCCTCATAAAACCTGTTAAGCCTGGGGTGATAAATATGTGAGGGAATGAATGATTTAGGAAGTGGAGAGTTCATAATGAAAGCACTTTTTTGGCCCATTAATAATTCTCAAACCTAAATGAGAGCCGAAGAGGGAGAAGCTTGGTATGGATGTTAGTACATTGGCAAGTGTTTCTTTCATGGCCTGTTCTAGCTTGTGTAAGTAATTTTTGACTAAGAGATAGGGTTGCAGGGCCAGGCCCTTAAAGTCCAGGAGCCACTGAATTGGTACCCAATTTAGTTAGCCTGTTTTAAAGTCCAAAATGTGATCTGATGCCAGACACTAGTTATTGGCTAAATCCTATTGATTTCAAGGCACTAATTAAGACAAATTACGTGTACTGGCTAATTTTGTGTGGGAACAGCATGAGCTCAGCTGTTAACACCCACTTAAAGCTTATTACCTTGTTACTAAAGAGTACCTTCAAACCTCTAAATAAAACTGGTGGGATCTAGTCAGTTTTTTAGCTACTTCTAGCACAGATCTAACAGCAGATGAGATGGGCTAGAACAGGGGTGTCAAATTCATTTGGCTCTGATAGCCAGATCTGGCCACAGGTCTCATCATTAGAGCTGCCAGAACCACTGTCAGCACCACCAACTGTTAGTTAATGCCACTGCCTCTCAATTCCTCATTGCTTCAGTGACAGTATTAGTTTCTTCACTGCTGGTGCTTTGCTGCTGGCAGCCACAGTAAGAAGCCCTGTGGCCTGAATGAGACTGTAAACTGAGGTTTCTAGTGTTTGTGTAGGAATGTAGGTAGGTTGATGGTGAGGAGTAAATGGTGGTAGCCTATATCTCTGCAAATTTATCGAAGTCCTGTAGGGGGGACACTGACATTCTTTCCATTGGAGACTCTCTTTAGTAAGGTTTGCCCAACTTTTGCCTTGCGTTTTATTTTTACTCAGCTGTTCCATTAGGGTACTCTATGTTTATAACAGTTCACAACAGAGAAGTGACTTGTATATGTTTAGGTAACTGACAATTTGGTAGAATGTTGAGTAATTTTCATTATAAAATGAACTTTTGGATTGCTGAAGACTGCTTGTGTTTCAATTTTTCAAGTAAATGATGTGACTGATGAAGATATCATGGAGAAAAGTGAATTTAGATTACAGCTGTCTGAATCTAATGGAAATAGAACAGGTTCAGAAGACAACTCTCTCTTGTGAGTATATAACTTGTGTCTGATTCAACTGTACCGTAGCTCAGTCTTTTAAATATTTGCCTTGCAGAAGATAATTTAGCTCTTTCTAACATCAAATGCAACTAAGTCCTTATCATGTTCAACCAGAGACCAAGATCCAGTTCTGCCCCTTAAGTGTTCCACCCTGCTTGAGTTCTTGAAAATTTGGTAACACATATGTTTGTATTTTTCATGCCTAAGACTGAGGGACAGAAAGTGGAGAGGAGCATGAAGACACACCTACCTTTTTGTGCAGGGCTGAGTAGAATTGTGTAAGTGCATTCCTGCTCCAATTGGCTGAGTTCCTGAGAACCATTAACATACAAGGTTGATGGGTCCCTTCTCCTCCTCCATCACTTTCTGTGACTTTGGCTTGAGGCTGAGATGAAGGTATGTTAAAGTAATGCCTTTTCAGGGACTCTGGCAAGGGGTTAGAGAATTATGCTTACCTAAGTGACTCATAGTAGCATATAGTTTAGTCCAAACTGTTTATAATTTGGCCTGCGTGGAGGATTTGAATGTATCCACTGTGCCATGTGAGTATTACCTTTTTTCTGCAGCTAGAGATGGGATACAGGTGGAAAAAAAAGGAGGTGGGGGAGGAAGTTAAACTGTGAGCATTACGTGGAATAAGTGAAATACTGAATGAGGCTCAGAAGACGTGGGTTCAGTTCCACACAATGCAACAGACTATTCAGGTCTTAGGGAAATTACTTAATATCTGTTTGTTTCAGTTCCGGGTTTCTAAAATGAGGTTAATTGTATCTCCTCTGTTTATGTTGTCTGTGTAGTTTAATCCCTTTGGGACAGGAGCCATCTGTTGCCATTTATTTGCACAGTGCTTAGCCTCAAAACTCCACTGGCGCCATGTGGCACTAACATAATACAGATAATGCAGTGAAACACAGGTCTCCTTGCTTCTGACCCCAGGTTATTTTCTCCCCAGTGAAAAAATCAGGCAGAACAGAATCATTATTAGTTCTCCCAGATACCATTCAGTGTGTTTTTCTTCTTCTTATTTTGAACAGGAACATGGAAGAGAAGGAAAAGTCATGTTCAGAGAATGAAGAGGCAGCTAATGAAATCATGGAATTACCTTTAACATTGCCTTATCAGAATCACAATTGCTCTACTGTGTGTCTTGCCAACAGACCACTGACCTCCTACAAGAGTGAAAACCCCCTTAAGATACCAATTCTGTGTCAGTTCCAAAGACGACACGCAAAAGCAGACTGTCTTTCCAAGTCACATGATGTGAATTATAAAGCCCCCTGTGGGAGAAGTCTGAGAAATTTTGAAGAGGTGCAGAATTACCTGCTTGAAACGGAGTGTGACTTTTTATCTGTTGATCACTTTTCCTTCAACACATATGTACAGCTGGGCAGGAACACTGTAAACCGAGAACCACTTGTATTTGATTTTGATATCAGCAATGGAGCTGAGGTGGTGCCCATTTCCTTCTGCAATGACATTGACCGTACAAGATTACCCTTCTTTAAATACAGGAAGGCATCATGGCCACGTGGATACTATCTGAACAACTTTTCCAGCACGTTTGTTGATTCATGTGACTGTACAGATGGCTGCACAGATAGGTGTGTTTTTAAAAAAAAAAAAAAAAAAAAAAAAAAAAAAGTT